CGGATTCGGATTTGTGCGGATCCAAACCGTCGGATTAGGTTTGGCCCCTGAAACGTCGGATTGGGCCCGGATTGAGCAGGATTGGGCCTAATTTTAGGCCATGTCTTTATATAATCACTCTATGTGATAAATTCGAATTTGTCATGTTATAAATTCGAATTTATCACACCTTGTGCCACAATATAAGTGATAAATTCGAATTTGTCACATGATATATTTGAATTTATCACTTATGTTGTGACAAATATATGTGACAAACCGTCGAATTAGCATGGATTACTCTGGGATTCAATCCGAATTACGGATTCGGATCGGATTCGGATCAATCCCGGATTAACTGGGATTTTTAATCCATTTTCGAATACTAAAATCAATAATACAAATATATATAAGCAAAACTACAACAACCAATAAAAGAAAATGCAGAGGGTATTAGTAATGCTCTATCTAATCTTGTAAATTATAAAATAATGAAAAAAATAAATTATTTAGAATAACTTAATAAACATTATATATATTTAATTATATATTGTATAACAAATGAAAATCATATATGTTTTTTCCATTGTTATATTAAAATTGTTTAATTAATCAACAATAATGATCTAATCATTATTATCAATTAACCATATCAGCAAAAACTTAAACAAAAGCAAAAAAATAATAATAAGCATTTACTCATACTATATATCTTGTGAAAGCAAAAACTCACAATAACATGATCAAATATATTACAGCTGTACAATTCTATATTAAATAAATACATTTATATAATCTTACACAGGTTCAATAAATACATAAAGGATACATAACACGATCCTTTTATCATTCTGATATCTATCCTTTATCCGGCATTTACTATTTGACGGATTTTGTAATTACAACCCGTTACTAGTCATTCGGACTTATACCATTTTATGATATTTGCAATTTGCCATATAAATAAGTAAAATACGTCATAAACAGTTAAACATAATTAGATCGGAAATTTTTTAAAATTGTTGTATTAAGCAAAAAACTTTAGGATTGAATTTTTTTTTAAATTGTACGTGCTCGAAAAAACTTAATTTTTTAAAATTGTTTGTGTTGAGCAAAAAACTTAATTCGAACAAAAAATTTTTTAAATTGTTAAATTAAACGTATATAAAAAATTGCAATAAATAAATAAGTAATCGCAAAATATTGAGTGAATATTCAATTTGAATATTCTTTATTATTTAATTGTATTCAATTACGTACACATATCCTTAATTATTAAATGTACAATTGTTATAATATTTTTAACAATTGTTACATTTTTTTGGCATTTGTTTTCTTTACTGGTAATATTAAGTGTACGTTTATGAGACTTGGAATTATTTTTTAAAAGTTCTTTCGCAGTATGAAAATCTCCATAAAGTTTATGCTCATTTGGTTCCTATTTATTTAATTAAATAAAAAATAAATTAGATCTTTTGATAAAGTTACTGATTTTAAATATTTTAAACTTTTACCTGTGCAGATGCATTTAAATCTTCATCGCTTACATAGTTATCACTTTCAGATGTATCATCTTGTAAGTCTTCATAGTTGTCAGCTTCAGAATTGGAATCTTTAATTAATTCTTGAGATGTTTCAGTAGATGACGTAGTAATTATCTTGTTAAGAATGCTCGCTAATGCTTCTCTTTTATGGTTGTCAGTAGGTTTTGCATAAGCATAATAACCACCAGAAGATTTGTGTCCACTAATTGCACGACCAGTATTTTCAGATACTCCGATACTGAATAATTCAATAATACTTGTTCTTCTGCCTGAATGATTATTAATATTTCTTGATTCTATATTTATTCCACATTCAACGCAAATCATTTTGAATAATGAACGAATTGTACGATCGGCCAATAGTTTATCCAAATACCATTTTCCTTTAACAATAGCTTAATAATTTATAGCGTTAGCAGTATAAGTTAAATTTGTAAAACTTATTGTTTAATATAAATATAAAATTACCGTTTGGACTTCGACAAGTAGCAAGATAATAATTTGAACATTTGGAATTTTCAGGACGGAAAGAAAGATACTTTCTTAAATCCGAATTTGGCCCTGCAATACCTTGTGGATTAGACGGAAAGGTATAATTAAATCATACTGGTTTCTGTCTATTCCTCCCTGGTCATTTTTTTGTTGATTCTTTCTAAAAATAATACCATTTGGCATATCTACAATTTGTTGTAAATGCAAGTTAACATGTTCCCCGCCTCTGGCTGCACCAAGAATAGAGATCCAGAAAAAAACTCGTTTTAATAATCCTAAAGGAGTATTTGGATCCAGAACTTCATGATTTAATATATGCCGAATTTCTTCGGTAGTTAAGCTGTCAGTAGATTTTGATTCTCCAAGCCCCTTTTTCTTCATATCTTTAAGTAAACCATCGAATTGTGCATATAAATCAGGAAAATCATTCTTATTATGCAAATTATATTTCCAACCGGGTTTTACATCTTGAAGGTGACGGCTAATTGCTGATAACGCATTTTTTAAAGAAGTTCTTGAATAGGATCCACCTTTTTTGGGTGTTACACCACATAGAAATTGGGACACTTGAAGTTCGATTATTTCTTTATTGAGACTTTCAAGTGGTTCATTATAGTTAACGTCTAACCGCCATTGATTCATAATTTTAATCCATCTTTCGGTATTTTTAATAGTATTTTCTGGAATACGCCCTTTAGCAAGTGCCGAAAGATGGTCAGTAGAAGGTAAGAAATTAGATCGTTCACCCATATTCAGATTTGTGAATTAAGAAAGAAAGAGATCATGAGAAAATAAAATTTCGCTTGTATTTATAATTTTTGAAACTGATTAATTTTGTGATCTATTACAATTTATTAATTATCGTTGTTAATAAAAGTAACGATGAACTATATTAGGTCTCTAAGTTATGCCAGATAAAACAGTTATGAGGCACTTGTGCCTCATAACTACGGCACAATTCGCATTTTTACAAGTGTTTCAAATGCTGGCAAGGCGCTTCGCGCCTTACCAGCATTTGAAACACTTGTAAAAATGCGAATTGTACCTTACCGGTATTTGCGCATGCGATCTGCTTGGCCGAATTTTGTGCACCTTCGGTGCTTAAAATCGACCAATCAAATCGCATTCTGCAAATACCTCAGTTATTCGGCACTTCATGCCTCATAACTATTACTTATGTATCTACTCTCAACCTGGTTTTACAGGCTAGCTTGGTGCAGCCCTCCAGTACGGGCAATAGCTTTAACTGGTAATGCAGACCGCACTTGGGCACCTATAGAGGAAGCCGAGTGATGTCGGATCTATAACTTAGATAGTATATAGTGTAACTTTATATTAGCTTTGATTTAATAAAGATACTGTCGAGGCTGCCAAATATATAAAAAAAAAATAAAAATAAAAATAAAAAAAAATATTCTGCGTAATAAATAATAAAAATAATATATTTTATTAAAATTGTGTATTTATAAAAAAGCAAGTGCAGTAAATAAAAAGTGTAATTTTTTTGTATGGAGTATACATATTCACCAAAAATGGTAACATAACAGGATATAAAAAATAAAATATTAGCTTCTTATAATATCTCAATATTTATCTTTAATAATCCTGCTATTCATCTTTTATTATCCCGATATTTATCTTTAATTAACCTGATATTCATCTTTAGTTATCCCGATATTCTTTCATTATTCATCTTTAGTTATCCCAATATTCATCTTACATTATTCAGTTATTCATCTTTAATTATCCGGTTATTCATCTTTAATTATCCTGTTATTCATCTTTAATAACCCGATATTCATATTTAATTATTCTGATATTCATTTTTAATTATCCCGATATTTATCTTTAATAACTCCAATATTCTATTTAAAATGAATTATATAAAGATGAATATTGGGATGTTATAAATATATAAAGTATTGATATCGGGATATTAATATATACCCTTTATTTATCTTATATTTATCTTTTATTTTTACCGGTATTTATCCTTTATGTTACTATACATCTGCAAAAAACTGTAGCAAACCAGATTAAAAGTGGAAATATAAAGGATTGATATTAGGACGTAAAAAGGTACCTTTATTTAGCTGATATTTATTTTATATGCACCAATATAAGCAGCATAACAGATATATAATTATTATATAAAGGATCAATATTGAGATACTAATAAATACACTTTATTTATCTTATATTTATCTTATATATTGTACTGATATTTATCCTTTATGTTATCATACATCTGCCAAAAAACTGTAGCAAACTAGGTTGAGAGTAGAAACATAAAGGATAGATATTGGGATGATAAAGAGATCCCGTTATGTATTCTTTATATATTTATTAAACCTGTGTTAATTTAGAAGAAGGTGAGCTACTAATGATATTAATAACATATAAACTATTAGTTAGATTAAAATTTTATATTTATAATTATTTTTATTAACATATGTAGATCCTCTGTTATTAGAATTAGAACTAATTCTGGCTTTTTTTTGAGGTTTAGAGATAGAACTAGTAACTTTCTTAATATAATTGCTTTTTTCAGCAGCAGACCAGCCAGTACACAAAAGAATATAGCTATGAAGTTTGTTAGGACGGCCAGGTAGTTCACTATTACAATAGGTATACTTCGCTGTATATCTGTTGCCTGTAATCTTTTCTATAGAGCACCAAAATCTAGTTCAACGATTATCATGAACTTTCATATCAGGAAGTATAAAACCAGGAGGAAGTGAAAATTACATAATGAAATTTTTGTTAACAAAAAGATAAAATTTTTGTTTTTTATTATATTTATATTTAACCTACTAATCAAATTGTTTGAAAAGAAGTTATTTTTATATATTTTTAATTTCAAGGCTATAGGTATATCAAATTTTACTTTATTTCAAATTTACATCCTTTACATTGATAAGCATTATAGTATTTCACTACAATATATTAGATAAATCAGATTTCATATAAATTTATTTAATCAGTATCAACTATCTTTAAATTTATCAGGCAGGTTTGCATTTGATAGCTAGGTTGTTTTCTTTATTAGTGTAAAAAAAACTTTTTTATAGATTTATAGGAGACATATATATACATATTGTCAATAATTTAGTTTATACTATATGATTAACAACTTAAAAATCCTTATAACTTGATGACTCAAATATTATAAATTCATTTCGTTGAATCATATACTATTACTGAAATAACAGATAATCAGGATTTTTAAGTAGTAATTTTGATTAGATACATTTTTTTTTGATATACATAGCATGCAATATGCCGCAGCATAAGGTTTTTTATAACATACATAAAGTATAATGTATTACAATGTCAATTAATAAAGTAACTATTACTGCTTCTATAACAATTTTTCTTTTTGCATTTTATTTGGTACATAATCAAATTTGGATAAAACAGGTTAGTCAGGTTAAGATATATAAGTTAAGATTGTAAATTCTAGAACATACATGCAATTAAGTATGATACTACTATATTTAATTGTGACGCGTCTGAACCCTGATACTAGTACAGGAAAGTATGTATATACGTATATATGTATATATCTGATATGTGTATTTGATATGCATATACAGTATATTTAAAAATTTTTATAGAATTAATATAAAGTGGCATACTATCCTGATTTTTTGAAGCAATGGCATGCCAGTAATCACCGTAACAGGTTCCCTACCTGTAAATGAGATTGGTTTAAATATTCATGTCTCTTGTAAAAATTTAATTTATCAAAAATTCAATCATTATTAAAAAAATCTTAAAAAATAATAAATAAAACAGACAACAAACTCTTTCTGCTAATCTGTAATTTTTAATTGGCCAAAACCAAAATCAATAATTATTTCCAAATCTAGTATAAGAAACAAGGTATCTTATACTAAGAGAAAAGAAAGAGCACTTAAAATAACCTGTAGTTTATTAGAATAGGCTTTTACTTAAGACCTTTAGTCTAGCAACAACAAATTTTTTAAAAATTTTTAAAAAAATTTTCGAAAAATTTTAGGAATTTGCCTAGACCCTGAAAATCTGATTTTAAAACGCGTAAATAACAACAAAACAACAAACATGTAAGATCAGAAAAATAAACAAACAAATAAACAGCAGATCACGTTACTATTTTTAGAATTAATAGAAAAATAGCAAGTAAACAAACAACACACATGCTATTATTAAAAGCTAAAAGATTTTTCTAGAAAATACACTAAAATTTAATATAACAAATATAGAATTTAAATCAACCTATAAAGATATTCATATAAGAATTTAAATACACTAAAATATGACAACTCTAAAAAGAATTAAGAGTGCATTTTTAAAGCCAGTAGAGGAAAAACAAGAAATATGTGAATCACAGGTGAGATTTACTATTCAAACAAATAGATCTGTAGCAAATTATCTGGAAGTAAAAAATTCAGAATATATATTATTTATTCGTATAGCATTAGAAAATTACAAAACAACATTCCAAAGGTTTTCAAAAGGCAACAAATTAAACTCAGAAGATCAAGAACTAATAGAAATAGATCCAAAAACCAATATAATTGAGTTTAGAAATTTGATTATAAAGAGGCCACAAGAAGATAAAACCAAGAATACAACAACTATTGCCAAAACTGAAAAAATGATCTCACCTTTCATACAAGTAAAAATAGAGATTAAAGAACCTACTATACAATTAGTTCTCAATAAGCCAACAAAAAAAGAAAACATACAGACCTTAACAAAAATAAAAAAGAAAATAAAGAAGGTCCGAAGCTTAAGCGTCAAAATAGTAATTCAGACAAAGTTGCAGAAGCAATTTTGAATGAATCAGAGAAAAAAATTCTCAAAAGCTCTGATGACAAAAAGGTAGAAGATGAAATAATTCTACTATATACAGAATGTAGATTACACGATCAAGGAACAAAAGAAACCAAAACCTTGTATTATTAAGATATGATAAAAAGACAGTTGTAGTCCTCTCTAAAAAAGAAAAGAAGAAAGAAGATAATATCACTCATAAAGATACCAAACTAGAATTGACTATATATGGGCTAGTGATACACTAATACCATATCTACATAAATTTGAAATAGACAATTCATCTTCCTCAACAAATAGTGACCACCAGATCCTAACATCAACCTGGTTATTCCCATTTGCACTCTCTAAACCAAACCAGAA